TATTTTCAGTTGAACTGTATGCATTCTAATTCGTTTTGGGTGATGATAGAATTTTCCCACAATCTCGTGAGTAGACATGACGCTTCAATTGAAAACTGGATAATAAAAAAAGGCTTTCGCAGAATGGGCAAAAATGCAACTGCCAATCCAATTAACACCCTCAACGAACTACTTATAAAGTAAAAGTAGCATAATGTCATTTTAATTAAGATCATTTATCTAAATTTAGACGTCTATGTAATGATGCAATTTGCGCTAGTGGTACATTCACTATTCCCGCTTCTTCACATCACACTGTCTTATTTGTTTATTAAAATGAGATGTTTTGGGTGATACAGCGACTGTTAGTTGAATTTTCCCATAGCCCTCGGAGCAACGTTTGTCTTGATTTAGGCTGAAGTACTTTTGATTTGGCTCAAAGAGGCGATGGAAGGCATTCGTAATTTGCTCGCACCGGAAGTCGAATGGATGTTGTCTCGGAGCTGTGACTGTAGACTTGGGGGAATAAGTCGTCGACGAATCTCTGGCGAACTTTGTATCCGTCACGTGACCGGCGTCCTCGGAGCAGGATCGCTGTTTGTCGATAATCCGGCAAAGCGTGAAGATGCCAAAGTGGTGGCCGACCGCAATCCCACCCAATTTTGATGGCCTCAATTTGTTCACTTATTCTGACATGTCATGAATTGTGAACATCAGGACCAAGATGGAGGGACCTTTTGCTTGCTTCTGTATGTTGGGTTGTCTGGGCTTGGTTTGACCTCGTTTTGGCGAATTGGTCGTAGCGACATGTAGACTTTGGGGAATGTATCAGCTGGTCTTGCGTCCTCTGACCTCGAGCCTTCTCGAGCAGTTCCACTACCCAACCGTCGACATGAAACATTTTCAAACGTTTCGCCGGCAGCGTCACAGCTACAATTAGTCAAAGTAACCATTGACCCTATTTCTGTGCAAATTCTTTTCAATTTGTGTTCAATTTCCATTCAATTTCTGGTCAATTCCAGTACGATTTATGTTCAATTTATGGTACATATCTGTTCAATTTCTGTTTAATTTCAATGCAATTTCTGTTCACTTTCTCTTCAATTCAATTCTACTTTCTGTTCAATTTCTATTCAATGTCTGTTCAATAAAAGTTCAATTTCTCCTCAATTTCTGTTCAATTTTAGTCAAATTTCTATTTAACTTCAATCCAATTTCTGTTCATATTTACTTAATTTAATTATAATTTCTGTTCCATTTCTGTTCAATTTCTGTTTAATTTTAATCCAATTTCTTTTCACTTTCTCCTTAATTTAATTCTAATTTTTGTTTAATTTCTATTTAATTTCTATTCAACTTCTGTTCAATTTCAATCCAATTTTTGTTTACTTTCTATTCAATTTAATTCCGATTTATATTCACTTTCTCTTCAATTTCTGTTCAATTTCAGTACAATTTATGTTCATTTTTAATCCAATTTCTATTCATTTTCATTTAATTAAATTATAATTTCTGTTCAATCTCAATTCAATTTCCGTTCACTTTCTTTTAAATGTAATTCTAATTTCCGTTTATTTTCTCTGTTCAATTTCCTTCAAATTTATGCTCAATTTCTATTCAATTTCTGTTCAATTTTTGTTTAATTTCAATCCAATTTCTGTTCAATTTCTCTTAAATTCAATTATAATTTCTGTACAATTATAGTTCAATTTCAATCCAATTTATGTTCAATTTTTGTTCACTTTCTCCTCTAGTTAATTCTAATTTCTGTTCAATTTATATTCAATTTTTATTCATCTTCTGTTCAATCTCACTCCAATTTCTGTTCAATATTTGTTCAATTTCTACTCAATTTCTGTTCAATTTTAGTCAAATTTCTGTTTAATTTCTTTTCAATTTCTCTTTAAATTAATTCTAATTTTTGTTCACTTTCTGTTGAATTTATTTTCAAATTTAGTCCAATTTCTGTTCAATTATAATCCAATTTCAGTTCAGTTTCAGTCCAATTTCAGTCTAATTTATGTTCACTTGCTTCGTTCTACGCTGTAAAAATAGTGGAATTAAGCGTGAACAGAAAATGTGACACTGACCACTTTGACTAATTGTAACTTTGACGCTACCGATGAAGCGTGCGGCAATGTACCGAGTCAATGAGCCGACAATGGGCATTAGCATTACTCCGATAGCAGATGAGTTCGGACAAAATGCGTTCAATTGGGTCGCCATGGCGACATGATCAAGTCGCCGATTCGAGGTGACATCACTTTTGTGCATAATAAAAGGCGGCAGCGACCAAAATTTGTATCTATTTCCACCACAAAAGCGAGGGTTTAGCACATGTTTGCCCGAACCCTGAAACCACTTGAATGGGAATGTTCTAGTAAAGCCTCATCTTTTGTCGGGCTCCACGTTCGAATCCCTCGCTCTGGCGGGGAACAATCGCAATGTCAACAACCGTCCAATAATGCTTCCAACTGTATGATTCTGTACCTTTCTCCCTTGACAGGATGTCAAAACCGGGACTGTGGAGACTTTCGAAAGTGCCTACATCGCAGCTTGGATCGCGTGTCTTTTCACGCTCTGCACACTTTGTCTACTTTACTGGCTCACGCTTCTGGCAGATCGCCTCCAACGTCCTCAACGATCCTACCACCTCCATTGTCTTTCCCACCGTCCACATCACGTCAACAGTTGCCATGGTGCCTGTCTTCTCGCCGAGTCGACAGCTTATCGCCACGGCAACCCACGTCGAAAGCATCCCTTGCTGGTGGTCAACTCGCATGGGGCGCATCAACCGGAAGTGGACAAAGATGGCCACTTTTGCTGTGAAAGTGGACAACCGGAAGCAGACTGTATCCACCAGATGCGCTCCGTTTCTAAGGCACTCGGCGGTTTCTGCCAACAGCACGACAATCATCATCATCATCATCATCATCATCAAAATCGCATCTGCTGCGATCATTATCTGTCAGACAGCAAAGATGATCGTGTAAAATGGACGTCTACCGACGGTTTGATTCATCACCACACGCACGACATGCATGTTGGTCAAGATGACAAGAAAAGTGGGCAAAGAGCTGGTTCCGTCTTGGATCCGATGCCATTGTTCCACTTGCAGGATTGCGTGGAGTCGGGCGTTGCTCAACGCGACACGGCCTGTTAAAATCACACTTTTCATTGAAGCAATCACTAAAAAAAGCATACATTCTACTATTTAGTTGTTATGGTAATATAAAATTCAATATTAATCTGAATAATAGACCACTTTTTCACGCCTAGCAACTACAGTCTGGTCTCTAAGCTTGCCTATTCACCGAGAAGTGTCCAGAGCAGTTGTGCTACTTGCCAGCGTCGCAATGTGGAAATACTACTTTGCATCAATTTAAGCAACTTATTCCATTTTAATGAGATTTTTTTTTAATGATGAAAAAAGTGTCAGTTGAATTGTCGCACAATCTGATGAGCAGACCTTATGACAATTGACTGAATTATTCTTTTTCAATGCTGCCTAGAAGAGAATGGCTTTTTAAAATTCAATGGAAATGTAAGTTATTCTAAAATAAGTGAGCACATCTCATGCATCCATTCAACGTGAGTGGTACTGGTACATTCGCTATTTCCCTATTTTCGCATCATATTTCGATAAAGATGACGCGGAGACTGACTGGCAGATGAAAACATATCTCATTTGTATGATCTTCTGGTAGTCTCAATAACATACTACTTACAAACGAAATAGTAGATACAACTTTGCTTCATCCACAATGCCATCATAGAATGTGATATCTA